ATCCCACGGAAACTACATTGTAACGACAGAAGATGGCTATCTTTGACGTTACATCGTATTCCGTGGTGGCAACGGCTCTCTATTGTATTACTGATAAATGATATTTTTTGCACTTCTGTTGTTTGGGTCACTCTTGGCAAAGACAAAGCACTCGGTACGACTTTTTAATCATTAAGAAACATTTTAGTATCGTTGATTTCACTTTTATTGGAAAAAGATCTAAAAAAAACTATAATTTAAATGTCAAAAGAGCATTTTAATGCACTATTAATTGTAATAAACAGTTGTAATAAACAATTGTAATAAACATTGTAGTGCATTTTAGTTTTTGAAAATTTTATAAATTAAAAATTTGACTTTCCAAAATTACATAAATTTTGAAATTACTGTATATATGATATATTTAGAAATATATTTTTTAACTTATCTGATTAATGAATGAATTATAAATCAAATCACGCTCTTAATTCGTTATAAAAATATGTGCACACAAAAATATGATTAAATATATGAATAAAATATTAGATGAAAAAGTACTAGTAAAATATTATAAACAATGTTATTTTTTTACAATTTAGCTTACCTATTAGCAGATCAAGGATATGATGTTTGATTGGGCAATTTTCCTGGTACTGCGTATTCAAGAGCGCATATTTTCCTATCACCGTCAGAATGGAAATTTTGGGATTACAGGTATTTTCCTAAAATAAAAATAACGATGCTTTGTAAATGACTTACAAGGGAACGGTCGAAAGTGACCCTTACCGATTTTAATGAACTTGGAATATGTTTTAGAGCATTGAAAAATATTACACCCGTATTTTTTTTTAGCTGCGTATCTCGACATTTAGGAGGTAAATTATCCTCTTGTGTGAAAAAATCGTTTTTTTTTTATTTTTAGCCAATACTGTCGAAATGGTAAAAGATATAAGAAAATGTTTTAAATAAAAATTTGATGGTTTATAATATTTTTTAAAACAATGTAATCAAATTTTTCAAAAATGTCAAATTCCCCCCTCTCTCTTTATACTGCACTGTTTTAAAGAATATTAAAATCCATATAACTTTTATTTGAAACATTTTTTTATACCTTATATCGTTATATCTTATACCGAAATAAAAAAACAATTTTTTTCAAGGAGGGTTGTTTTACCCTTTAAATGTCAAGATACACAGTTAAAAAAAATACGGGTTTAATATTTTTCAATGCTTCAAAACATATTCCAAGTTCATTAAAATCAGTGAGGGTCTTCCAATCGTTCCCTTGTTAGTTTTAACAATATTAGTTCAGTCAGTAATATTGAATTTTTCATTAGCTTTCATGAAATAGGCGTCTACGATTTACCTGCGATGATTACACTTATTACAAATATGAGATCACAACCATTGCACGCGTACATTGGTCATTCTATGGGCGAATCTGTTTTTTACGTAATGGCAACAGAGCGTCCAAAAATTGCTAGAATGGTAAAAATGATGTTCAGTTTTGGACCAGGAATTTTCTTAGATTATATGAGAGGTCCACTACGATCGATGTTTTATTTGGTGAAAAAGATGCAGGTAATAATATGTAAATATAATATACTACTTTGAGCTAGAATAAAATTAAATAAATTGCATTTTGAATAGAAGATATCTTTAATTGCAGCCAATATTTCGAGTTCTGTTCCATGACGAATTACTTACACGAAAAGTTTTTAAAACGGCAATGGCATTAATCGGCTGCAACTCAAATTTCCTTCTATCGGAGATGTGCGCTATTTTCATATTTTCAGTCTTCGGTTACGACCGTGAGCAGTTTACTTACGTGAGTAATAACTGAGTAAGTATTCGTCTGCGAAATATAATAATAAATTTAAAAGGTTCTAATATGCGAATACAAAATCATATCAAACAATTTTCAAACCGTTGAACGAGAATATATCACAGATAAAAAATTAAGGAAACGTTTTGAAGCTTCATCTTTTATCGTGTGTATACACTCACACACACTCACACATATATATATATATATATATATTTTTTTTTTAATTTGCTGTTTAGACTCAGCTGCCTGTAATTGTGAGTCACATACCTGTCAGCCTTTCGACTAAGACAGTGGTGCACATAACGCAGGGAATCCAATCAGGCAAGTTTCGTCGATACGACTACGGTGCCACGAAAAATCTCTTAATCTATAATTCGATAGAACCGCCGGATTATGATTTATCGAGTGTTAAGGTGCCGATCGCGATATTCTATGCCAACAACGACTTCCTGGTCGATCCCATTGTAAGTAATATATGTACAAGTAATCTCGTTGTAAAAAATATGCATTGATAAAATGAGAATTATTACATAATAAATTAAAATATAAAATTGAGAAGTTAAAAGAATTATTAATTAGTTTGGAAGAATAACACATAAGTAGTTATTAAGAGAATTAATTTAATTATATAAAAGAAATTCGCATAATAACTTATAAAATATTTCTTTAAGAATGTGAAGAGGTTGTATAATTTACTGCCCAACGTAATAGATTTGTACAATGTGCCGCGGCCCAGTTTTAATCACGTGGGCTTTATATGGGCCGAGGATGCACCTACACTTGTGTACAAAAGAGTTTTTAAAATCATGAAAGGGAAATATTTAAATAATGTAACAACGATATGATAATAGGTACATTGCTCTGATCTGGATTATGAAAGTTAAATAAATAAATAAATAAATAAATAAATAATAAATAAGTAAGTAAATAAATAACCTTGGCAAAATTGATTTCGACGTAACTAGCAATTTTATTCAATACTTTCACGACGTTTCGACCATTTGGTTGTGGTCATTATCAAGTGAGAATTCTATAACACAATATTACACAATAGTTTTTAACAATGTTGAAACATACAAGAACATATTTAAATGTTAAGTTATGACCACAAACACAAACATGTCCATCAATTAAAATGAGATTAACGCAACATAAAACCGATCTTATTTAAAATTAATAGTTAAAAGAGGAACACGTCCCATCGCTATGATGTTTTGTCAACGACTAAATTTGAAACCACTAAAAATTTTTTATTATTTTGGCGTAAATATTTGTCAAATTCTCAGTGTCTTTCTGTAGGTTAACAGTATTATCATGCTTCTTTATGAAGAACATTTCAGCAATCTCTCTTTTTCTTACATGTTTCTCATTATGTAAAATGGTCGGTGATTTCCAATTAAAGTTATGTCCAAAATCACATCTGTGTTTACTCAAAACCGAATGATTAGACTCATGTAATTTAATATTGCTAGCATGTTCCTTCACTCTAGTGCATAAATGTCTTTTCGTTTGTCCAATGTATGAGGCATTACAATTTTCACAATTAATCTTGTATACTACATTCGTTTCTATATCATTAGTTATTAAATCTTTACCTCGTTTTATCAGCCTATTCAACTTTTTTGGCAAACTATAAACGACATTTAAGTTAGCATTTTTAAGTGACCTTTTAATACTGTCGCTAACGTCTTTAACATATGGAAGTGGAATCACATAATTCTTATTTTGAGTCGAATTCACATTATCGTTATTATCCAAATTATTATTCAAATTATCGTTATTATCCACATTGTAACGGTTAACATTTCTATTATTATTTAGTACATTAATTCTTTTATTTACATATTTATTATTAATACGACCCGGAAAGCAATTATTAATTAAAATGTTCTTTACAATCTCAATATTCGTATTATGAAATTGTTCGTTTAAAAGTAAAATTGCATGATTTACTAAATTATAAATCGTATTAATTTTATACTTAATAGGATGACTCAAAAGAAAATTGATGTATCTGCCAGAACATGTAAGTTTCTTAAACCAATTAGTTGTCAATTCATTCCCATTGCGGATAACTGTGGAATTTAAAAAATTAATAGAAGAATTGGTCTCTCTATTTCATGCGTAAATTTTAATCGTTCATGATAATTATTAAATGTACTTAAAATTTCATTTATTTTAGAGTTAGGTAAAATAATAAAAATGTCATCCACATATCTATAAAAAGTCTGAACTTTAAAATCGTAAGTATATCTTTTTAATTCTTTGAAGTTTTTATTATTTCGATTAGCTGAATTTTTTAATACTGTCGATAAATAATTTAAAAATTTTAAAGTTGCGATCTTATACCGCGATTGATGTCGCTTTTGTTCAAAATCAAAATCTAAATTTCTTAAAATTATACATCATCGTTTATTATGTATATAATAGTATTTATTATTTTTTAGGACTATTATTATATTTAATTTTTATTAATCATTACTGGCGACTTTAAACAATTAAAAGAGTTTTTTTAATTTTTATTGTTTAATTCCTATATTAAATTTTTTTTGTGTTTTTTAATCTATAACTATATGAAATAAAAAAATAAATGTTTACATGTAATAGTAGCATTTATATACACAACAAACACATGTGCTATATATGTATATACATATTGTGGGATCCGCGAAAAAGTATCGGGCCTTCGGGTGACTAGACCGGGACCCGAACCCGGAACCTTCCGCTTGCCGGGCGACTGCTCTAACCATTAAGCTACCTAGGCCCTCTGCCTAACCTTCTCGCATCACCCACTTACGCGTTATGGAGGAGTCCCGATACTACAATATACAATAATTGTGTTATGCAAATATACATATAATAATATATGTAAAGATCTAAGAACATTGTGCGCATTATTTTTATTTATACAGAATGTTAAAGAAAAATCATTCAACATTCATAAGGTACCCGTACGACATTTTAGATTTCAGATACATATAGCAAATAGATAAAATTTGTAATGTTGCTATATAGCAGATACACAGTAATACATATAAATTATGTATTAAGTACATGTTTAATACCGATAAATGTCCGCGCTATGGATACGTAATTTACGTTATATATCAGATACATATGATTATATATATTCGATATATGTTAAATACGTAAATTATGTATTTCATACGTATCTGCAATATTGCTAATAGGCGTTTAAAATGTATCATACAGATTATTTATTCATACACATACAGGGTATCGATTATTGTGTAACTTTTTCTGAAGTAAAAACAAAAAGTAAAAAGATTTCTTTCAATCACACATCGATTTCATTTTAAAATTAATGTATAATTGGCGGAAATTTTTAACTTTTCACGTTTTTACTTTAGAAAAAGTTACACCATCAATACTCATAAATAGTACACACAATGCTGTAAAAATATTTTAACAAATATTAGTGTTTGCTGTTATCTAAATAATCTCTAAAAACTCACCTTTAAAAAAAGGTAAAAAAAGGCGACCAGTTAAGGGCACGCCATTAACAAAAATTATCCATTGCAAACCCATGTAGAATCCTATCCTATTGCAAACCCATGTAGAATCCTATAAAAAATTAATCATTGCAAACCCATGTAGAATCCTAGGCAAAATTAACCATTGCAAACTCATGTAGAATTGTATTAAAAATGATCCATTGCAAACTTATGTAGAATCCTACATTGCAAACCCATGTACAATAGAATTGTATGAAAAATTATCGATTATAAATTCATGTACAATCGTAACAAAAGTAATGAAATAAAAAAAAAATTGCGCCAAGTGAAAGTAGAAACTTGTACCAGTGGAAAATTAAAGTTGCAGACATATATAGAGTCGTATAATGAATCAGTAAAAATTTAAATTTGCAAATGTAGAATCGTACCATAAAAAAACTTATCTTTTAAAAAAAAGATAAACAAGATGCCAAGTCCATGCGCCATGTAAAAAAGAAATAAAAAAATTTTAGTTAAAAAAACTGGGCGCGCTGCTAAGTTTCAAAATTACAATGCACCTTAAAGTAACATTAATTAATTTAAACACAAAACATATTTTAACTGTAATGAGTTTAAAAGTAACAATTTAATTTTAATATTGTTAGAATATTATTTAGCAGCGCTCCCAGTTTTTTTAACTAAAATTTTTTTATTTCTTTTTTACATGGCGCATGGACTTGGCATCTTGTTTATCTTTTTTTTTAAAAGATAAGTTTTTTTATGGTACGATTCTACATTTGCAAATTTAAATTTTTACTGATTCATTATACGACTCTATATATGTCTGCAACTTTAATTTTCCACTGGTACAAGTTTCTACTTTCACTTGGCGCAATTTTTTTTTTATTTCATTACTTTTGTTACGATTGTACATGAATTTATAATCGATAATTTTTCATACAATTCTATTGTACATGGGTTTGCAATGTAGGATTCTACATAAGTTTGCAATGGATCATTTTTAATACAATTCTACATGAGTTTGCAATGGTTAATTTTGCCTAGGATTCTACATGGGTTTGCAATGATTAATTTTTTATAGGATTCTACATGGGTTTGCAATAGGATAGGATTCTACATGGGTTTGCAATGGATAATTTTTGTTAATGGCGTGCCCTTAACTGGTCGCCTTTTTTTACCTTTTTTTAAAGGTGAGTTTTTAGAGATTATATCATTCATTTTTGTATATTTTTATGACCGGAATAGAACAATTATTAAACATGTTTATCTAAACTTCTTTGCTTAAAATGATGTGTACAATCATATCCTAGAATCCTGATCATTCCTCCTAAAGCACCCTATTTATATAAATTTACCCATATGTGTGTGTGTGTGTATATGTGTGTGTGTGTGTGTGTACTAATGTCGAGCATTTTTTATACATTTTCTATTAAATTTAGATAAAAGTTGCAGGATTTCGAAAAAGAAAAAGTTGACACAGACTTTTTCCTAAACGGCGATTTTCAAGGTTATTTAAAGGTCACTTATATTTTCAAAATAGAATTACCTTAATTTTTCTCATATAAATCGATTCCTCGCAATATTTACTATAAAAAGTTGTAAAGGTATAATTTTTACATAATCTTACATAAACTTCGAAATATTACAAATATTTGTAGGCGGATAAACGATTGTGGACAAAATAGATATATATATAAGGAGACCGGATTAATTAGTCAGGAAAGAATCCGGATCAAATAAGGAATTGAAATTAGAGTATAATATATTTATTGCGAACTCAAGGTGCCTCTTGTCGTCCAAATGCTAAATGTTCCCTTGTCTCTTCGCCGTCGCTCCGACCTCGGCGGTCCTCGATCGTAAGAGAGAGTGTGTCCAAAAAGAGAGCGTTCTGTGTACGTCTACCAAAAATCGCTGATACTTATATCGCTCCTAATTTCCCTAATAATCCCTTCCTATCATACTTGAGCCAATCGCTAAGCGACAACTAACCCGTGCTCTGGTTTGTTTTCGAACGGTCGCATCTGTTATTTTCTACACGGATCAAATCTCTTATTATTCGCACACGGTAACATAAATATAAATAAATAATCGAACACGAGGACGAGACGACAAGGCGACAATAATATGACGGCGTGATACATACTCTCGAAAATAATCGCACGCCTACAGTTCGGCCATTCTGACATTTTGGCCGTCTCGGTCAAACGATAAAATAGAACAAAATAAAATATAATTTGAACAAAATTCCTTTACAAGAGAATGCATCGTCATGCACGTATATACGGACGCATTTGGTCGGGCGCAAATATACCAGTTATCATTTTATTAAATCT